ATTTGTATAAACCATATGTAGGTTCCAAAAATCTCTAAAGAACTTCTGGATAATTTGAAATCTCGATCTTTCTCTGAAATTAATTCAATCAAAACCTTTGATTTTTCAACCCTTTATTCAACCATTTCCCATCAGAAATTGAAAAAAATCGTCTAAAAGAAATAAATCACAATGCTTTTCAAGATAAAATGGTAGCATACGCTATACAATTATTGCTTTGGGATATCATACGCCATATTTTGTTAATAGTGTACAAAAAGGTAAAACATTCTACACCGAGGAACAAGTGATCAGTATGCTGGAGTTTTTATTGACAACATATTTGTTGAATTTGGAGGTAGACTTTTTCAACAAATTGTTGGCATTCCTATGGGAACGAACTGTGCGCTCTCCTTGCCGACCTCTTTTTATTTTCATATGAGTCGGAGTTCCTTCTGACACTTGTCAAAAACAATCTCAAGATTCGGTTTTAAATTCATATACATTTTATAATATTAAAAATAGAGATTAAAGCAGAGGAGAGGATTTGATGTCAATTTACATGCTTATGATTGAACAAGGAAATTTTATAAAACATATAAACACGTATCCACTTAAAACTAAATATTATCCTATATGACCTATTGAACAGCGGAAGTTAACACTTCAAAAACGATATCGTCAAGTGTCATATATTGTTCATCATGTCCATATTATTTGAAAAATTTTCCATTTCGATTTCAATAAAATGTACTGTTCACATAATTGTGTTTTAAATTAACTTTGACCATGCTTCCAAACATTTGCCTGTGTCTATATATTTTTATCGTGAAAAATCTTATTTTAAATCCTGGTAAGTATACAATCATGTAATATACCGTTTTAAATATTAAATATATAAGCTTTTCAAGCAAGATAGTAACTGAACGTGGATTAATCAATAGGAAAAGGAATGTATTAAAAAAGTAAGTGAAGCATTATTATTCACAATTTCCATAAAACGTTAAATTAAAGCAATAGTAGTATACCGCTGTTCAATAGTCATACATTGATTTAACTGAAACAAATCTGGGTCACAAACCAAAACTGAGGGAAACACAACAACATTAAGAGGAAAGAAAACGGAATAACAGAAACACTGAACTGCTACAAAAACAAACGTCAACATACATAGAAACAGACTAATAGTATGTGATAACAACTGCCATATTCCTGACTTGGTACAGGACATTTTAAGAAAAAATGGTTGGTTGAACCTGTTTTTATGGCTAGCCAAACCTCCCGCTAATATGACAATGTTATAACTACCGCTAAAATGAACATTACGTGACAGGAATACAATTAATTGTTTAAAGACGGTCTATTATCAATATTTGTTTTAGTATAAACATGTTGGTTGAATTATTTCTTATGGGGAAACATTGCAATTACTAATATGAGGCAGGTGTTATCTGTGAAAGAGGACGAGATACTCATAGATAATTATATAAAACTGATTTTTGCTAAATTTAAAGTGCAATAAAATGTATGTAAGCCACCATCTTTTTTTCACCTTACAAGTAGTGCAATAAAAAAGAAAATCTCTATTTAAAAAGAATAAGTAACTTTTGTGATACCTTATAATTACATCATAAGCTTTATGACTGATTGAAAGACAATAAATTATAACTCTTCATCAAATTGCCAAAAAAAAAATAAATCCTAGCATAAAGTTTGTTGAAAAAGTTACTTAAATACATAAAAAAAACATATCCGTTTTGACCCTGTTGTTAAAATTTTATATATGAAAATAAGATGATGTGGTATGAGGACATGTTAACAAAGAAACGCTATTTTCAGGTAGCGTTTTTCCATAAAAAGAATATATATATATATATAAATTAAACATAGAAACGACGACGATACAACGTCGGCTTATCATTAGTCTTCATGATCCTAATCAGATACAAAAATATGCCTGATTAATCAGGTGCGTTTTCCTATATATCCCATTTTGTTTGATATTAGATCGGATGTTGAATAGGCAATAGACTTGTTTAAGAATAATACGGACTTTATTTTTATCGTTTAACTGCCAATATTCTTTTGGTAATCGGAAACAACAAACTTTAATAGAAAGCATATGCACTGCTTCTTTATATCATATGCAAAAGTCTAAAGAGAAACGATAAAGGAAGAGTAAAACATACCAGAAAGTAATTCTGCTCAAACTGTCAAATGAAGAAAGCTGAAAAAAAGTTCACGATTTTGAATTCATTTGTATATTGGTTTTTATATTGATGTTTCTACTGTAATTGAGGACTTCTTCTTCATATTACTTTCCATATTAGTAGTTAATTGAAACCAAAGTTGTTCTTAGTCATTTTACAAGCAAAAAGAAATGTGTCATTAAATTAGAATTTATTTAGTTAGTGTGAAACATAGAATAAGACGGACAGTTCAAATATACATTAGTGTAACTGTTGTGGTAAATAATTGCCAATATTTACTCCTTTTTTAAGTGTGTTGAATAAGTCATATTTATCTACATAGTTATATAATATTAAATTTTCTAAGTCCATTGAAATTTCATGATTTGGATATGAATATCAAAAAAGAACAAATCTAAATTAAAACCATAACACCTGTTTATTTGCACATGATTACTTTATCGTTTACTTTCTTGACTTGGTAATAATTTATGAAGTTGTGTATGCTGACAACAGAGAGGCAACTTTTTAATTTAAATATGATTATTCAATATAAGTTTTCTTAAGATAAGCATACATGTAATTCATTATTCTTTTGATGCTGCTTGGCATACTGTATTTGTTTTGTACACGTTTTAATTATGTATACTAAGAGATATGGAGGTGATATTATTACCTGTATATTATAGTTCGACCGTCGGCATTTTGTATACGCAAACTCAACTTATTCTCAGTCGATGAATTAATGGCTTATGTGTTTTAAATCTGAAGTAAATGGTTTGCATATTGCCTGTATAAGAAATGAAATAATATTTATTTAAACATATTTGGAGTACTATTCTTTCCAGTCTCAAATCACTTGCATTAAAATTTTCCAGAAATACTAATTTTTTAACATTTCCACCTGCGACATAACTATTTAATACAATCAATTGAAAGTTTGACGGCGTCTTTTCATTGAATAGTGCTCTTTCTACGAAAAAAAGAAATCGTTTCTATATTGACGCCAAGAAAATTCTTACTTTACGAGAACCCATGATGACAACAAACATACAAATGATGATATCTTCTTAATATTGTTTTTTTTTCGACAACGTAAGTGTAGATTTTAATGGATGAATTTTTCAACAAACAGACGTTTTTCAAACGGATGTTGTTAGTGGATTCCTTCAGATCGATTTGTTTTTTTTTTTTGGGGGGGGGGGGGGGGGGGGGTTTGTTTGTGTATTCATATGAAGTTCATACAAAAACCATCAAAAGGACAAAACGAAAAAGCTTCTTGGCATGTTCTTTCATGGTCTAATTTAAATATACTGACGATGTATTGTAACTCAATAATTAATATTGCAGCAAGTGTTTGCATCTCATATCGTTGTCTTTTTCTTAACATAATCACAAATGTATGACTTCAATAAGACGAAGAAATAGTTTATTGATGTATAAAATACCTAAATTCATTTTAAATATATAAACAAATTGAAACATTTGAATTGTATATTTAAGTTGTATAATAGTCATTATTGACATCAGTACGGTTGCCTATAATTGCTTACATCCACTTCATTTGAAATTTGGTGGATAGTTGTATCAATCATACCACATCTCTTTATTCTTATAAAGTTTTAATTTTGTATAATGAAAAATATTTTATTTGTCTTTACAGCAGCCCAAATACAAACAACTAAAAAAGTAGTAAAGTACATGAATGCAACCTCTGGTTATTCAACTTGGATTAAAAACAGCACCAATCTTGATGAGACACATACTTATATAGTCCCATTCCCAGATCCAAAGAATGTATCTCATTGGATTTCATTTGCAGGTATGAAAAGTAGTGAGATTTAATCATGATAATTTTATTATAATATTGGCAAGTTTTGAGGCAAACATCAAAACGTTTTATTTATGGATATTTTCAGGTGCACAAAATTAAGGTCTCTTTTTTGTATTGCGAAATGTTTAATACTAGTCATAGCTAATACAAATTAATTAACAAAAGTAAAGAAAGATAACATTGAGTCATTGATTAATGCTGGTTTACATTCAGAAAAATATATGATGAACAGAAAGGCATATATATTCAGTATTTCAGCTTTCGAGTATCAGAAAGACAGAATTTCTTCAGTGTGAAATAATATGTCGTAATAGGGAAAACGATGCAGCCAATGAAATTCGGAGTCTTCAATTTTTAGTATTGAACTGGCACTGCGTTTAGAACTTTGAAAATATTTTTTAAGGATGAGTATAGACATCGGAAAGTCAAACCTGTTGTGGATATGTTTCTTAGACCGGGTAGACGATTATCAAAATTTAATCTATCAAAAAAAGTAATTAAAGTGTATAGATACATCACAGTTCCATCTTCTTCTTTTAAAAATATTGCGTTTGAAGACATCAAATGAAAACTTAGTAATAATTCACTTCCTTGTAAAAGGAAATAATATTCTGGTATAATAGAAAGCCTTTAGAATCGGCATTTATCATTTTAACGTCTGAATTTTATAAGGTATATGCAAAAAACAACTGAACAACAGAAAAAGTGTAAAGAATTACATTTTGTGTTCAATTTTCACCTAGTTACCTTATAAATGTATGTTCGTTTAGATTATGTCATATAAAGTAATGATTTCGTTCAATTCACATATATGACAAAAAATAAACAATCATGATGTTTAACTTTAACTTCTTTAAAGGAAAGCTTATTTAACTATTCCATATTATGTTGTTACATATGTTTACTGATATTTTTTATTAATTATACAAAACAACATATCTGTGGACTGCTTCCTGTTTCTTATCTTTTATATTTTCATATTTAATTCAAATGGTTGTGGATATGCAATTTTATCACAGTTTGATACGATGACAAAAGTTATAGAATCATTTCGTCGAGTATTCAACACTGATGTTTGTCCTGCAGACAACAAGTATGACTGTTTTCTAAAGTGTTCATTATATAAAGATTCAACTTATGTTGTGTACTTTGTGAGTATATAGAAAAATTATTTTCAAACCTCCTCACTTGTTTTTGGAAAAAAAAAGAGACGGAAAATGCAAAAGGGAAAATCAAAACTCCTAAATCGACAAGTTCATGGCAATAAAAGAAAACCACGGATATGTTTCAATATTGTCGATGACATTCTATCGTCCTTGTTTTCCTAGTTTGTGACAACACCGAAAGACATTTCCCAGCAGGCACTCAACGTTGAATAAACGTTGAAATGAGGTTGAAATGGTGATCAACGTGTATTCAACGTTGAAACAACGTTACATTTTCAACGTTGAGTAAATAACAAATATTCAACGTTGAATTAACGTTGATCATTTCAACGTTGAAATCGGAACGTTGATTCAACATTGAATAAACGTTAACTTATTTACTCATGGTAGGCCTATATGAGGCCTATATAAAAAAAAATCATTAACTGAAAGCAATACATGCATGAACGTAGCAGTATATATTTATAAAGAATAAGATAGAGTTTCGGTTTTCACAAAAATATCATGATAAAATGAGATCTCAAATAAAACTGAATTCTGTGTATGTGGGAGGAGGTAAATCGTTTGATACTGAATTTCTAGGCAAAAAGAAATAGAATGCATTAATTTCATTTCACATAATATGAATGAATATTTTGCACATGTTAAGGATTTTAAAATAGTTGATTATTAACAAAAATCAGGATTTTTTGTTATATTCATATTTTCGCGGGATTTGAACAGGAAGTTAGATTGCCCATGCGCAATATTTAAACCCGTATCTTTCCTGTTTTGAAAAAGATAGAACAACAAAGAACGAAGTCGAGGAGAATCTTTCCGTTTATCAAGTATGGTAAGTAGATGTTTCTATGTGGTCATCACGGTTTTTATATACATGTATGAATTGTATTTAGAAACTCTGAATTTGTATCAATATTGCACAATTAGAGAAAAATATAACGTCAACATTGTATCCCTGAGAACAGATCAGAACACATGGAAGGGCCATAGTGAATATATCATCTGACATATACAATTTTCTCCAGTTATACTATTTTTAAAAGCATTTAATGTGGAAAGCATTTTTATTTTCATTGAGACATTAATATGGTTAAAGATTTTAATTAAAAGGGGGGGGGGATATACGCAAGGGTTTACATAATTTACAGTGATCAGATAAATTTCCAAACATGTATACTATATATATATGTGTCTTTGTTTAGTTTACCTTTACGGCTTGGTAAACTTCATACTTTTTGACGATTATAAACAATCAATTTCGACTGGACAACAAAGTATTGAACGATCATGTGATGGAAAAATCATACTATTTTTACTTGTACAATAACATTATATAATTCAACAAAATAGTATTATTTCACGCTATGAGAGGATAACTATAGAATTTTCATTGATAATTTTTGACCTAATTAACCTTTCTACAAAAGAATTCTATTTTTAAAACAAGTCAGTCTGACCCTTATCTGATCTTCAGGTGATCTCTGACTGTGTGTAATACGAGAAATGAGGTTAACATACAATTTGCATCTCCATGTGCGCACTTTCAATTATGACTACTCTTAAATCAACATGATCATACATCAATACAAAAAGACGACACAACTTTAAAGAAAACAATAACAAGGAAAGGTCTTTTATTTTTCTTAGTTTAATAATTGCTAAAAGTTTCTAATGTATGTAATAATGACATTATTACATGCATTAGAAACTTTTAGCTATTAGTTAACTAAGAAAAATAATAGAATTATCACCTGCTAGCCAAACACAAATTCAACAATATGTATTCGACAAAGACAATTATTTATGTGAAGGGTAGACTATAATATTACACGTACATGTATAACACACTAAAACGAATAAGCTGAATTTAGTATTAAGGGCATGCGTTTAGCATGATTGAGAACATACATGTACAAAGTAAATACTATCATTTAAAATTCAATATATTTCCTTTTCATAAAACATTATCATGTAATGTTTCTTACTGTATGTGTATTGAACCTTGCGCTGAATGTTAGCAGTCCATTATTGTAAACATGTATTATTTATTTTACAGAATCTTGTCAAACAAATCAATGGCTGAAATGCATCAAGTGGAGTAAAATCAAAATTCAGTTTTGGGAATTCCAGTCTATAAAATCATTAAAGGTAGGTTTTTTGTCTGTATATATCATTTGTGTTCAAAGTTTAATCTTGTTCATTCTATTTTTGTTAACCTTACAATCCATATTATGTTTCAGTGTTTGTCTTATATACAGTATTCTAGTAAAGCTCTTTATTTCATGTTAATAGACTTGTGCAGTCATCAATAAAAAAACGTCATGGGTAAAGTGTTTTCATGGTTCTCAATTACATAGTCAAACCTGCAATCTTACAAATCTCGAGTAGATGCTTCTTCGTTAACAAAAACTACTAATAGTAAACATTAATGCATATTAATGATTACCTTATTACAATATGTGTTTTGTTGTTATGGTTTTATTTTTCATTGCTTCTAGAAACAAATTGAAAGTGGCTCAAATTTAGAGTATCTTTTCAGGACATACAATTTATATGTATCATCATCTTATCTTTTCCAGAGGTTAAATATGCTGCAAAAGTATAAAGATGTCACTGAGAAACACATATCTGATAAAGATCCCTCCTGCTTGAACTTGAAGTCTGCCTCAGAAAGATCTCGAAGTGGTGGAAGAAAGTTGACATGCAAAAAGGACAAAAAGAGACAAAGATAGCAAGTGAATTTATAAAATAAATCTTGTATCAAAAGAAATATCATTGTATTACTAAATTTAATATTGTTCCTCAGTAAATTTGTATTCATTTAATTGTTTATACCAATTATAGGTGTGAGGGTAATATATATATTTACACGTATATACAATCAAGGACAATTGGTTTTTTGTGGAGAGTTGTCTGATTTAATAGCAGTCATGCAGCATCTTCGTATTTTCAGAAGTATTGTTATCATCCTGAACACAAGTTGGATCTGATAATGTCTTCACTCTTCTTGGGATATACTACTTTTAAGAAGGGCTTAACATTGGTCAGTCGTTTAATATTTAAAGGACTATTTGTTTAGAACTATTCAACATCTTCTTTCTGTTTGGTGATGCTTTCTGTGGTGGGAATAAAGTGTATGTCATATTTTTTATTCAAATTCATTGAATGATTTGTATTTTTATAGCTATTCACAACAAGAAAAACTACAAGTAAGAATATATAAAAAAATGGTAGGTGTCCACTTGTATATCAATTTAGATAATTATGTTTAGTTATCTTGAAATACAATTGGACACACACAATAATTTCAGCTATTCCTTCTTGTAGTTTTTCTTGTTCCTAATAGATAAATACACATTTTTCAATAAATTTAACATTTAAATATGAGAGACACAGAAGCCAACAGGATCTTAAGATATGACATTTATGGTCTAGATTATTGACTGTACAAGCACGGAATGTTGTATCAGTAACAATTGATGTATTTATTTAGATGTCTCCAATTTAACTTATCTGTCTTGGTGAGAAAAAAAAACATTAAAAAAAAACCTGTACAGCCAGGCTGCCTGTCTACATCTAACAACAGCACAAAAATTGGAAAGCAGGTATAAATGTGTATGTAGCTTTATACTAAATTTTATTAATAAACTTTCAACTACTATTCAACCTTAAATCAACGTTGAATGGATGTTGGAACCTCAACGTTGAAGTTTCAACGTTAATTCCAATTTTCAAAATCAAACATAAATTTGACATTGTTTCAACGTTGAGAAACAACCTTGTTTCAACGTTGAATCAACGTTGAGTGCCTGCTGGGTTAACACCGAACGTGTACTTTCCATGAGAAAAACTACGGGTGTCACATGTAGAGTAGGATATACTTACCCTTTTCAGAGTATCTGATATTATCCCTTGTTTTTTATGGAGTTCGTGTTGCGAAGTCTTTATCTTGCGATATTTAGACTGTTGTTTGTCCTTTTGCATTTGCATGTTGAAATGGGCCCCAAATAAAGCAACTTCCTTCTATACACGAATCAAAATTAGGCAGTCCAGAAATTAATAAGTATGTACAACTATTTTGTGTGAAATGTCAAGTGACTTTGAATAATACAGACATTTATCTGTGGGTTAAAATATAATCTTATTTTTAACAGTAGTTTGAATCAAGAGCAGCACCGTCGAATTTGTCATTGTAAAATCTAAGTTATTTTAAATTTTCTTTTTAGAAAACGATCTGTCAGTGTATTGTTAATCTCACTGTTAGTCTGGACACATCTTCCAACTACTGTGTGGAGAACCGTACATTGTGTAATGATTTGTACTGTCAGGGTGACACTGGGTTGTTATTCTTTGCAATTAGTAGAACATATATTGGTAAGACACTTACTTATTTGTTGTGAGGATATTGATTGCTTAGACATAATACAATTTTTTTTCAATTTATTGAATTAACTTTCATGAACACTGATTTTCTCATTGAATTAAAAACGTTCTTTTGAATTTCAACACGGAAATCAAGAGCCTTAAAGTTTAAAATCATAAATTAGGGTAGCAATATTCAAAAGAAGGGTTAATCCAAATTTTTAAATTGATAAATATTCATGGTCACGGATATACATTATTAATTGAATAGTGATTTCACATAAGTTTTGGTCTATATCATTGCTGGTAGACGTTTCCCTTCTCCTATGATACAATGTATCATTACCCCAGTAGCATCTTTTTTAACATGAAACGTCAATGATGCGATCATTTTCAGTCAATTATTTGTTAACAAAATGTGAACTTATTCGAAACACAAAAGGCATAGTTTTGACGTACTGTTTTGGATTTTTTAATTTTCAAAGCTCATTTTCATTATCAATTTAGTTTACACTGTTTTGATTTGAGAGCCACTGATGGTTCTGTAGAAGAAACGTCCGTCTGGTGTTCTAAATTAAAGGCCTGTCTATCTTTGAGGAACGTTACAACCATTGATCGTGGATACTGCTGCTTCTACGTTACATCTTCTAAGATATCACCAATCCAGTTGTCAACACTTCAGTTCTGACATAAAATATCATTAATTCGATCTCTTTCTGTAAATGTTCTATTTGTAAAATGTTTAAATCATTCATAACATGTAAGGTTTTTCTACCCCTCGTTGTACATGTTGTAGATAGACTTACTGATGTTTAGTACAACTGTTTTCAATTCTTGAACATCAGTGCTCTTCATTTCTAAATTGATTGGGTTAAACAATTGTTTTGATTCGAGTGCCACGGGTTAGTCTAATATATCTATACACGAAATGCGCCTCTTGTTTAATAAATTGGTAAGTTTTACAATTCAAATTCTACAAGAGTGAAAACTTCGAAGCTCCTTATATTATCTTGTTTACTAATTAAGTTGCCTTATAACCTGAATGCATACTTAAACGCAGCTGATTCTTTGAAATACATTTCTTCATTTCCTTAGCTCAAATGGACAAAAAACTTAATTTATCAGTGTACAGTGTGCCAACTTTGCATTGTCTTCTCATAACAAAAAATGTATATGATATAAAGCCTATAAAAGATTGCGAACAAAAACTAAAGAAAATTGAGTGTGATGTCATGGTTATCAGCATTATATTCCGAATCGGTAAGTATTTAAATTTAATATCAACATGTAAAATATATCCTGGTCTTTAGCATGTTTCGGGTATACGTATTTACCGGCAAAGTACTATTTACATGTACATCAGAATTAAAATAGACGCAAATCAACAGTTTGCAATATCTTTGCTCGTCTCAGTCGAACTAAGGCTGTACAGATAGTCTAGATATGGGCATTCAGGATCGTTTGGTAACGCTAGTCAACTGAATAATCGTTTATTATCCAAACCATGCAAACATGTTTAACAAACATACCGAACTCCAAGGCAAATTCAAAAAAAGGGGAAGTACAAAATGAAACACTATCAATCAACGGAACAAGTAAAAAAGAACTGTCATATTCCTGACTTGGTACAGTCATTTTCGACGAAAATGGTGGGTTAAACCTGGTTTTATAGCTAGCTAAACCTCTCTGACTAAAACATCAAAACAAACATACAAATTAATCTAACTTTTTGTTGAAAATATAATTGACTTACAAATGTATATTAAAATAGGAGATGAGATATGTTGCCAATTGACACAACTTTCCATTAAAGACCAACTTAGAAAGATGTGAACACTATCAGGTCATTGTACGGCCTTCAATAATGAGTACAACCAATCACGTAAGCTATATAAAAGACTCCACGATGACAAATGTGAAACAATTCAACAGCAACAACAATGGATGTATTAATTTTCTAAAATACTTTTGTCTGTGATGTTGATACACAAATGCACTATTTGAGGCTTAACCCAATAGATAAAGCAACTATACGGGTAAGTGTGCTCAGACAAAATAAAAGTAAAATAAAGTAAAATACACAAGCTTAATAAAAGTAAATCAAATACATTATACAGTACTTAAGGAGTGGATATGGAGATAATTTTGACGCAATGAATTGAAAGTTATAAATCTCTAATATGCAATATTTTTGTCCATCTGGCAGACTGAATGGTCATGTTTTATTTGTGATTTGGACGATTTTGATTAATGAATAACATGCATATGCCTAATTCTAAAGTCAGTTCAAATACAATATTTTTAATGCATTAAAAAAAAAACACACACTTTTCTAATGTATAAATGTAAATATGTGGATATGTGATAAACCAAATATTTCAATATAAAAGAAATAAAAAATCAAATACATTTGAAAATATCATTATTGCAGGAAATATATATATACAGCGGACGTGCAATCATTCACAAAGTTATAATAGTAAAATGTACTTCAGAGTTATATCACTCAAATATAACAGTAGGTATTTCTCTTTTTCAATTTTTTGTTTTATTAAGTTCTACCAACTGCCAGGTCTCGCATTGTGACTGGTCAGGTTGTAGCTGTGGGAAAAGAGAGGCGAAAGATTCCAAAGGGACATTTAAACTCGGACGTCGAAAATACACTGCCATGGCAAAAAAAGAGAAAGACCAACAGACAGACATAGAAACACTAAAAACCGGAGTTGATCTACGGTGCTCCGGAAAGGTGAGGAGATCCTGCTGCACATATGGTACACGTTGTGTTGCTCAAGTACAAACCCGGTGATAAGTCTAATTCGGTAGGTCACATTCGGGGAAAATACGACGGGATTGTGATTACGACGTTCAGCCAACTCGTGATGGCACCGTAAAATTATCGAAAGAATTGTCTCAATTGGGAAGCTGAAATCATCTCTTTTGTCGTAAAGTTTTGTTCTCAACCGACTCTCATTGTCAATTTATAGATGTAAGTCAATATATGAGGCACACGTTACTGTATCTGTTGTATCATGTATTCTAAATTCGATGAGATAGATGCGTTCAAAAGTAAAATCACAAAAAAATTGAACTCCGAGGAAAATTCAAAAAGGAAAGTCCCTTATCAAATGGCAAAATCAAAAGCTCAAACACACCAAACGAATGGATAACAACTGTCATATTCTTGACTTGGTACAGGCATTTTCTTATGTAGAAAATGGTGAATTGAACCGTGTTTTATAGCTAGTTAAACCTCTCACTTGTATGACAGTCGCATCAAATTCCATTATATTGACAACGATGCGTGAACAAAACAAATAGATACAATAGGTAAAAATGTCAAAAATAAGGGTACAGCAGTCAACATTGTGTTATCATCTTAATCACTATAAAAACAAACAAATGTAACAAAAAGCACAAAAAAGGCATACATCAAATTAAACATTCTCATTTTGCTTTTTTATTATACGATTTTATTTATCTATGTAAAATCCACCCATAAAGGATGGAAGGTTTTGAGTACTGGAGTAGAATCGCACGTTTGACGTCACACAGTTAGATATAAAAGAATTATGTCGTTCAAAGTATGACGGGATACATAAGTAAAGAGTCACGTCAAATGGATATCACAAAAACAGACCTAACAGTAAAAGTAATATAAATAAAATAGAATAATTTTGTCGTATAAAGTATGACGGGATACATTAGTACAGAGTCACGTCAAATGGATATCACAAAAACAGACATAATAGTAAAAGTAATATTAATAAAGACAAATAAAAGATACTTTAACACGTTAATAAGATGATAAACAACGTCAGTACGCAGAATCTGAATTCAACATAGTCTAGCTTCTTTTCGTTTGTATCTACGTTGGTCTTTTTTTTATGAAACAAAGCGTGATCAATTCTTTCAATTTGTCTTTTATTTTTGAATGAGGATTACTTGTGTAAAGGGTAGAAAAGTTAAATGTTTTAATACTATTGCAAGATGAAAGAGTCTTAGATTGTATGTACTCTAACATATCTTAAGATTTTTTTTAGAATCCACATCTGATTCATGCCGCCTCTAGAATAGGTTTTTGATTTTCTATTTTACACAATAACTTTGAAGCCCGGCTTTGATTGCTGATAAAATAGATGTTAATAATTTAGAAAGAAGTTTCGTTGAGCACTTGGAAGACCTAGCAATATAACGTTGTTTGTAAGGACACTAATTAATTTAGGTATCCAATACAGTGAAGAAAGATCCAGTTCTTCATCTTTGGTTGAATTCCATAGAACAGACCTATGATTATCCAGGATTTTTTTCCTTGATAAGTGTCATCGGGTATATGCTGAGTTTCCAAGAGAATTGTCAATACGTAATTGATTTATCAATCAGTTTGTGTAATGTGATTTACAAACAAAACGATGTTGTAAGGGGCTTTATCTGTAGGGACAACAGAATATTTTTCATTGACGTAGATCAGGTGTGCACATTTGGGTCTTTAAAGATTGATGTAGCATGTGTATTCATAAACCCATTCACTTTTTTAATTCTGATTTGTATTACATCTTAATCCATTTGAAAAGAGTATATATGTCTTCTTTCTCGCGTTTTTTTTCTCGTTTTAGCATTGCCATATATATACCAAAGCTTCTATGTAATTCGGTAATGATAATTGTTCTTTACTTTGTGCTTCGTGGTGCTCAGCGATGTCAATCTTTCATTCTAATGATAATCTTGAAAAGGGTGACATTTTCGTTTTCATGTTAGAAATACAAATTATAGAACATTTACCAACTCTATGTTATTGTTGCCACTACTCTGTCGAAATTCTTAAATACAGCAATGCATACAATAGCAGTGATTCATTTCAGATAATCTTACAAAGTATGAGGTATATCGGTAACTGTTTTTTTCTGTTTTGTAGAAGATGCAACAAACGCATTTCCTAATACTCAAACCATTACACACACAACAACAAAAAATAAACTGGATTCTGTTTCACAAGCAGGTAAGTGTACTTATCAGAAACCTTATTATTGGTTATAAGATGTCTCAGACTGTACTGATTTAAGTTATTAGTTATGGGTATATCTAGCAAGTATTAATTCATGTGAAAGTGTAAAGCGTGTATTTATGTATACATTTGCATTCTTAACATAGTAAGCATCAAACTGAAGGCCGAGCGTTGACATTGAAATAGCACGAACTTGATTTTCTCACAAATTCACAATTTTTAGTAATCTAATTCATATTGAACCATATGGTGGAATTGTAAGTTTGCACTGTTTTGTTTTATCTAAAAAAAAAAGTGCTCTTTTCAAGTGAAAATCTTCGATTTAATTCATAACTAGAAATGAATGAAGATAGAAAAAATTACTTCAAACAAACTAAAACTATGAAAAGACTGTATCATTCCTAAATGCAGACAACTACATAAACGTTTGCTGGTAGGGTTACTTTTTTGTGTTCTGAAATCGCCACTATCATCTTGATTAATATAAGATGGTACATGTACGTTGAAAAAAAAAAGTAAAATCACAAAAATACTGAACTCCGAGGAAAATTCAATCGGAAAGTCCCTAATCACATGGCAAAATCAAATGACAAAACACATCAAACGAATGGACAACAACTGTCATATTCCTGACTTGGTACAGGCATTTTCAAATGTAGAAAATGGTGGATTGAACCTGGTTTTATAGCGCTAAACCTCTCACTTGTACGACAGTCTCATCAAATTCCGTTATATTTACAACGATGCGTGAACAAAACAGACATAATAAATAAAATAGTCAAAATGTGGGTACAGCAGTCATCATTGTGTTACAATCTCAAAACAAACAATCATTTACAAAAAAAACACAAAAGCATCTATCAAATTAAAAACCACATTCATTGCTTCGCGTGTCTGACGTCAGAAAATGTAAACGTCACATAAGAAGAAATTTTGTCGTTTAATGTTTATTCAAAACAATTTTATAATTTCACATGGGGAATGTTGGTATACAGGGTTAAAAAATCAAAAGTTATGTTAGAATTAATTTCAGAAATAGACCTAGATTTAAAATTGTCCAGAAGTTCTTAAGAATTTGAAAATGAATCATAAGATATGTTTATTTTAAATAAGATCAAACAACTATCTTCAATCAAAACGACAGCATTATATACGCTACAGCAATAAACACATATGGCAGAACAACATAAACAGGTAATGAGTTGCACATAGGTCAAGAATGCGGCAGTAACTATGAAGGTCAGAGTATGTTTTGTATTCACATGTGCAATTCCTTGTATAATCGAAACCCCTTTGGTGATATTGATAATCTTAAACTCGGTAAGTATCATGATTAAACAGCTTTTTAATATGGCAACAATAAATGTGTCATCATTGAGTTATAGATAAATTTTAACAGTCGTAGTTTTACATAATCTAAATGTGTAATTTTTATTTCTATGTAGCAACATTCCAGCAGCACCTGCATATATAAAGTACATATGTGGAAGTTGATTACGATAATCCGAGGCTTGCGGTTGCTATCATGATTTAATTTACTATATAGAGGGTTGCTCCTTACAAGGCAGTCATTGAATGACAATAGTGTTTCATGTAGCTGTTTAAAAGGGCAGGGTATTTTATTTTTTACTCAGAGGGCACTCTTAACGCGATTGACTACATTATAAGGGCAACCCTTGCGTAAAGAACTTAGCTTAAAATCGCCCAGTATAAAAAGGTCCGAAATAGACGTCACCATGGACACGGTGTCGTCTGATAAGGCAGGTGTCCCCTCATCACTACACATGACAAATATCCCAAACATGACTCATTCAGATCATCATACTAGTGACAATAGCAAGAGTACACATACACAGCCATGTTCAGTTCTCCTTAAAGACATTTTGGATTTTGATGACTCTGAACAACACTGTCTTATTTCGAAATGTGGAACAAATGGCTGCAAAACTTGTGAAATTTTAATAACAAATGCTCAATTCACTAGCAATTTAACTAAAAAGTCTTATTTTACTAGAAGTTACGATGATCTGAATTGTAAATCTATAAATGTCGTCTACGGATTAGAGTGTAACCTTTGCGGATTGGTTTACGTCGGTGAAACGAAAGGAAGGCTAAACAAACGTATGTGCGGTCATAGATCAGATATCAACCTCAATGCAAACGACATTATGTACCAGCATTTTAATCAGCCTGATCATTCCATCGTTTCTATGACAGTTCACATTATCGAAAAAATATACCACAAGACTAACAATCCTCAATTTGCAACGCCTCTCCGTAGACAAAAAGAGGACTACTGGATTCGACAATTGGGAACTGCGACACCATATGGTTGCAATGACAAAATTGTAGGGATATGTATTCTATCTAGTCCTTCCTGTAGCTCGGTATATATGATGAATATTTTCAACTCTACTCCTCGATGCAGACGCAGTCATGGTCATCGTCATTATTCATCACCTACTTTGCATGATGTCTCTTATTAATGACTTGCTGCCATTTATCTTTAATTTTTACTGGTGTGTTTTGTATATGCGACTTTTTGTGTTTCTGTGGTTCTTATAACGTGACTCTGTACTTTAAAAGATCCCGTCATTATGTTATTGTTCTATTATATGTCATTATGTTATTGTTCTATTATAAATTTGAAAATACTTTGAACGACAAACGACAAATTTATTTTACTCGCGTAGTGGTATTTACCATATGTGGATTCTTAAGGGTTCTGAAGAACTTCTGGACAATTATAAATCTCGGTCTATTTCTGAAATTAATTCTAACATAACTTTTGATTTTTTAACCCTGTATACCAACATTCCCCATGTGAAATTATAAAATTGTTTTGAATAGACATTGAATGACAAACTTTTTTCTTATGTGACGTTTACATTTTCTGACGTCAGACACGCGAAGCAATGAATGTGGGTCTTAATTTGATAGATGCTTTTGTGCTTTTTTTGTAAATAATTGTTTGTTTTGATATTGTAACACAGTGATGACTGCTGTACCCATATTTTGACTATTTTATTTATAATGTCTGTTTTGTTCACGCATCGTTGTAAATATAACGAAATTTGATAAGACTGTCGTACAAGTGAGAGGTTTAGCGCTATAAAACCAGGTTCAATCCACCATTTTCTACATTTGAAAATGCCTGTACCAAGTCAGGAATATGACAGTTGTTGTCCATTCGTTTGATGTGTTTTGTCATTTGATTTTGCCATGTGATTAGGGACTTTCCGATTGAATTTTCCTCGGAGTTCAGTATTTTTGTGATTTTACTTTTTTTTATACAAAAGCCGTTAGGTATTCATCACATTCGCACGAAACTTTATTCATTACCCTTTCAAAACTTCATTCTCTGTTCAATTTATGTTTGGAAACCACTGTTACAAACCCTCATTCAAACCAATACAAACTTACAGCTATCATTTCGGATATTGCAAGTCACAGACTTTTCAAACCAGTTCGCATTGGAAAAGATGAAAAAGAGAAAAGATCTTTTCTTAAACTTTCCTTTGCAAACAAAGGTCTCGATGGCGTCAACTTAGGCAATATCCTTCATCTTAAATTAGTTCCGTCGAAAATACCTCCTTATTTTAAAGATCAGTCTGTACCAATAATTTCTTATACATATACCAAACCAATTGCAACTAAAATTTTCAATTACATACACGTTTTTCAGGATGTCAACATTGACGACTTCAAGTCTAAACCTCCTAATTGCACCTGTGCTAGTTCCCAATTCACATATAAACCGGCTGGCCACGTTATTACCGGAGACCTCAACATTGTCAATAGCACTTCCCTGCAAAATTTGTTATCCAAAGGTCCGAAATATTGTGAGCCTAAATCCATCAGTTGGAAATACAACTTCAAAATACTGATGGATTCAGTCGAGGATTATGCCAGGCAATGGGCTAAACGCGAGAGAGAAGACGTAGATACTCTTTCCGAATGGATTAAGGCTGTGAGGTCGTTGATACAAATCCGAATTAAGAAACTAAATGGGTCTATCAATACCCACGCTACGTCAATTTTTAAAGACCCAATTGTTGCAAAACACTTGTCCTACCTCCATGACAAATATGTTGTTGTCCCCGCAGATAAAGCCCCAAACAACATCGTTTTTGTGTGTAAATATCATTACATAAACTGCTTGATAAATGAATTAGGTATTGACAATTCATTTGGAAACTCAAAATATACCCTCACGACACTTACCAAAGAGGAAATCCTGGATAATCATAGGTCTGTTCTGTTCTTTTGGAATTTCAACCAAAGATGAAGAACTGGATCTTCCATCACTGTATTGGATACCTAAACTACATAAGTGTCCTTACAAACAACGGTATATTGCTGGGTCTTCCAAGTGCTCCACGAAACCTCTTTCTAAATGATTAATATCTATTTTATCAGCAATCAAAGCCGGGCTCTAAAGTTATTGTGAAACTGCCTAGTCTAGAGGTGGCGTGAAACAGATGTGTATACTAAAAAATTCCAAAGATCTTTTAGAGTACATACAATCTAAGACTCTCTCATCTTAAAATAGTATTAAAACATTTGACTTGTCTACACTTTACACAAGTATTCCCCATTCCAAACTGAAAGACAAATTGAAAGAGTTGGTATTACTTTGTTTCATTAAAAAGAATGGCGAACGTAGATACAAATATCTTGTCTTATGGGAGGGATAAATCCTACTTTCTAAAGAATCACTCTGATTCAAACAAAAAATTCTCTGAAACTGACATTATCAAGATGCTTGATTTCTTGATTGACAACATATTTGTTACGTTTGGAGGACGTGTTTTTCAACAGACTGTCGGAATTCCAATGGGAACCAATTGTGCCCCTCTTCTTGCCGACTTGTTTCTTTATTATTATTAGGCTGACTTCATACAGGAACTTCTTAGAAAGAAAGATAAGAAGTTAGCAATATCCTTTAACTTTACGTTCCGCTATATAGATGATGTTCTCTCACTAAATAATACAAAATTTGGTGACTATGTTGAACGAATCTATCCCATCGAACTAGAGATAAAGGATACTACAGATACAGTTAAGTCTGCCTCATATCTTAACTTACATCTAGAAATTGACAATGAGGGTCGGTTGAAAACAAAACTTTACGACAAAAGAGATGATTTCAGCTTCCCAATTGTGAACTTTCCATTTTTATGTAGCAACATTCCAGCAGCGCCTGCATATGGAGTATATATCTCCCAATTGATACGATATTCCCGGGCTTGTATTTCTTATCATGATTTCCTTGATAGAGGATTGCTGCTTACAAGGAAGCTATTAAACCAAGAGTTCCAAATGGTGAAGTTGAAAGCATCCCTTCGTAAATTTTACGGACGCCATCACGAGTTGGTTGACCGTTATGGAATAACCGTTTCACAGATGATATCGGATATGTTCCTTATGTCGTAACTACAATACCCTTCCCTTTTCACGAATGTGACCTACCGAATAAGACTATTTACCGGATTTGTAATAACATAAGCAACACGACGGGTGCCACATGTGGAGCAGGATCTGCTTACCCTTCCGGAGCACCTGCGAACACCCCCAGTTTTTGGTGGGGTTCGTGTTGCTTAGTCTTTAGTTTTCTATGTTGTGTCATCTGTACTATTATTTGTCTGTTTGTCTTTTTATTTTTGGCCATGGCGTTGTCAGTTTGTTTTCGGTCTATGTGTTTGACTTTACCTCTGGTATCTTTCGTCCCTCTTTTAAAGGACAACCTTTAGATAGATATAAAGGCACTATGATGGATAGGGATTTAATCGAAAAACTGATACCATTGCGTCATATTTACTGTTCAGAAATAAAGATATATATATTAGGTTACTAATTTTGTTCCTTTTTGTAAATAAAATATTAACTCAGCAAATAAAATCTTGATAGTGCAACTGTCTCATTTCAATCAATAACTCCAGTTATAGACTTAAATACTGGATCCCTGAGTGTCTAATGATGCGTTGTGAAAGTGTCATGTCTTGTATGACCAACAGCATATGCAGCCAAACACCTTTTGAATCATATTTATACCAATCATTGCATTGGCTCATAACATATCAATCTTCTTAGGTCATTAATCTTTTTGTTTTGTTAGTAAAGTTGCGGTCATCTTTTGGAATGTTTTCATATGCCATCATGATTTTGGTTGATAGTTATGCAACATCTTTTTCACAGATGACCACGGATATATACCATGTCGTAGGCATCAACCATTTCCCCTGTATTTTAACATCAATCAAATGCGACTTAGTTCCGGATATTACTCGCCATGATCAACTTATCGGGTACCATCGGTGAGGTAGGAGCTGCTACCCTTTCAGAGCATAGACGTTCACCCCTCGGTTTTTGGTACATATGGAATATATATCTCCAAGTTAATATATTCCAGAGCTTGCATTTCCTATCATGCTTTGCTTGTTTGAGAATTCCTGCTTACAGGGAAGCTTTTAAAAAAAGAGTTCCAAGTGGTGAAGTTGACATCATCCCTACGAAAATTGTACGGACGCCATTACGAGTTGGTTGACCGTTATGGAATATCTGTTTCACAGATGACGAGGGATATGTTCCAATAGTTCCGCAGTTCCGTTCTCTTTTCCTAGAATGTGACCTACTGAATTTTCACAAACTTCTATTTTCGTCTTCTTTCTTTTTGCCATTATGGTGTCTCTTTTTCCTCGACTTCTAGCTTGTGCTTGCTCCTTGGTGCCTTCTCTCCTTTTGTTTTTCATCCCTCCCATTACATCCACCTCTCGTACATTTAGAGGCTAGAAAGGTTTTTATGGAATTTTTCTCTACAAAACGCTGGCTCTGGGTAAGGTAAAAGTCTTATCATAATGCACTAAATAAAATAAATATGTATTTAGATATGTAAATGTATACATCCTGTAAATTGCAACAAATATTACGATTTAACATTGAAGTTCCTTCATATTCTAAATACGTTTTGTAATAATAAATATCCATTTTTCATTTCAGTTAATTACGGTATTATTATTTGCAACTGTGTTCTATTTATACTGGTACTTAGTGTCTGGGCCGTTCTGTGGTTGATGCGTCACAGGTATACCTATACAATAAATATGCTCATTTATTTCATAACTACGAAAACCAAGATCCCAAAATTCAGAAGATATTGGATAGACAACCCAAAACAGTCAAAGGAATCCGCACTGTTGGTTTTTTCGTTTTTTTTTTTTTTGGTTTTTTTTTTTTTTTTTTAATACGACTGTCGTGTGTTTAGTATGGCGGTCGATAAATGTTTTAACACCGAAATTTGCAGCATCTGATAACTTTTGTGTAAACGAGTATTTATTTAATCACTTTATTGCCATTCTTATAGTAAAGAGACTAAATCAGTGTATTCTAATATGTTCCATCACCTATTAATTTGCATGAGTTGTACACTTTATATAACTTGAATATCTTAAATGCCCTGTCAGGATAAGGATAATTAGCCCTTCGTATCTGTGTTTTAGAGTGGAAAACAAGATTTACGATCCAGGGACTCTTTTCACAAAACATCTTACAATTAAAATTGATCGTAAGTTATACTGAAATGTGCATGACTTACGAGTATTTTTACTCTTAAGATTTTTTGTGAAAAGAGCCGCAGGAAATATATTGAAATATCATAACCATTTTCTAAAGATGATACAGAATCACCTAATTAACTTTTGGTTATATGCACAAAGATTTTTTATCAGTACACATAATGCCCCATTTACATTTGATTAAAATTTTGTTTCTATTATTAACTTTCTAAAAAGTTTAAACAAAATCCTTTAGAAAACACAATAATTCTTAAATTTTCTTATTGATCTAGATCAAGAAAACAAGTTTCGATTCGAACGTCCGAAGAGACATCATCCAGAGAGGTTCCAAGGATGTCAAATTACGACACCATTAGTTTGAATACCATTCCACATCCTATTCATGTAACAAACGAAACGTATAGTGCGGTATGGGTCTAATGAACGTGCAGACTTCTTAGATCAGGATGCTAGTCTTGTACAAAGATACTTATAGCACTGTTCCTTTGAATTTATTTTGATGAGATTATTGTCTAATTTGAATTCATTTAATATGTATATTTAAAAACAAAGTCATTAGGTAAATGTATTAAGGAAAAACTAAAATAAAATATGCATTGGACTACACGTAATTACAAAATCGCATTTATAGTATATAGTTCATATTGTTGACATTTCAAACTTGCTACAATCTGAACTATTTGCAACCTTCCTGTGTATATTTTAAGAGATAGTGAAGAAGAAAATGTTATGTACAAAAACGAAGATTGTCAATTGAAGTTAAAATATTCGATCATCAGTACTTTGACTGAATACTAAAAACCTTTCTCTAATTCTTTGGCATTTTAACCCATTGTAAAAAAAAATTTAATCAGCGTGTGGTTGCCGATGATCACAGAAGATGATTGGATGGGTTTAAGGGTCATAACCTTTATTAGGTCACTGGATGAATCAAAATGTGCTAACACACTGGTGTTAAACTGATAATCGTAACTGGAATTACGACGATCCCAATATTTCGACGGCAGAAATAGGTAAAATCTTTTCAATCATTTTTCTCAAATGTAGTCCGTTGTTGTCAAGAGTTACTCAGCTGCAAGGTTTTTCTATACCATTACATCATATTTGAATCGTAACGGTGCACTATAATTGTCTAAGCGCTTAGAAAATTGCCGTCGAAAAATTCGGGATGATAATCGTAACTCGCAAAAATGATAATCGTAATTTCAGTATTAATTAATAAGAAGATAATCGTAACTGGATAGTGTTTGATTGGTTTTGACACGAAAAACGTCTATCTAATAGCATATGATGAAAATATGGTGATGAATTAATCACGAAAACGTTCCCACATCTTATGACATTTCTTTTTGTGCATATATGATTACCAGTTCTAATGTAAACAGCTACATACTAGTATATATCATAAAATTGGAAGGGGGACCAGATTCAATAAATTTGTAAATGGGGAAACACGAACTATGTTAAAATACTGAAAACTCCAGGAACTAGGACCGTCACAAAATATGGGAGAACATTTTTAAAAATGTCATCATGATCTCTTCATGTTTACAGTTAAAAAGAAATACTGTTTGGTATTCTATTTAAATACGGACTTGAAAACAAATGTCACACCTTTTCGAATGTGTAAAAAGTTGTATGGCCCATAAATACTATAAAAATGCTTAGCTACTTCATGACTGTTACTGACATTTCGATTTCTCAGAAAATAACTATAAATTTTAACAACACCAATTTAGTTTGGCATTCTAATAATATGACATCCTTAAAACGTTTAATGATAATATAAGAGTAGAGAAAAATAGGAATGCTTTGTGTTTTATGGAGTTAAGCACATGGTGACGTGGAGTTCATTGGCAAACATGGATTTGTGTTCTTTAATAGTTTGGCCAAAAGCCCGAAGATCAAGAAATCAAACTGGTGTGGCCTTAAATTACCTTACAAGCTATATTTATTCAGAGAATGACTGCAACTTTAAGAAATCATAGCGCTTATTCCGCCATATCAGAAACAAACTGATTCAAGAAATCTTAAATACTTGGTATATGAAAAATATGTTGCATACATATGCATGGAATATTGTAGAGAAAAAATATCGAAGGTAACAAAGAACATTTTTGTACTTGCATAATTACCATATACTTAGTACTTTTCTATCAAATAAAAACAAAAATTAGCCTTTCATAATTGTCATGCATTTTTCTGAAGCACAAAATATTTGTTTGATTATCTATTAAAGTCTTTGTAATTAAACCAGTTTCAATCGTAATGATCTACATATTATGCCTTCTGAGGACCAATACACGTATATATAATATACATTTGTGTTTTTTTTCAGTCCTTCAAATGCTTCGCAAGACTATACGCGCCATTTAGTTAAGGCAAATAAAAACAAATAAACACAAGTAACAATAAACACAAGTAACACTAAACACATGGAAAATAAACACAATGAACAATAAACACAAGTAACAATAAACACAAGGAACAATAAACACAAGGAACAACACAAGGAACAATAAACACAAGTAACAATAAACACAAGGAACAATAAACACAAGTAACAATAAACACAAGTAACAATAAACAATAGTAACAATAAACTGGTAACTTTTCTAGATCCTTTACCATCCACCCTGTTTAAAGAAACGTCCTAAAATACATGGGTATTTAATCAAAATATTTGAATTTAATTTTTAAAATCATATAAAATATCAGTGTAAAACAGAACAAAAGTGAATTCACTTGAAAAATATGAACGGCTATTTTAACCGGGATACATTTCACTCCAAAATTAAACTATATGTATTTCTATTGAAATATAAGGAAAAGGGCAAAATGAAAACTCATATCCACCAATCAAAGTATCAACTGTTAAATCCAATAATGCAGTTAAGTAACTGATGGAAAATTTTGTTCATTTCTCGCAGAAATTTAGTATATAGCACCCCCATTTCCCTTTTACATAATTTGTGGACCCATCCCCGAATATAAACAACAGGGAAATCAAAACTGACAGCGATCTTATGATAAATGAGGTATGTATAAGGCACGGGGGAAGGGGTGGTGTCACTTCTGGCGTGCTGCTGAAATTTAAAAAAAATATCCCCTTTCATATATTACCGAAGACCAAAAATCTGATCCATGTTATAACTTATATATTTATATAGGAAGTAACCCACAACCACCCCGTGGTATAGGGAATATTGAGATAGGAGAGGTTAACTTGCCCTTTTAATTTATTTAAAAGTCGATTGGATATATACAATATTTGAGGCAAAACATATGGCATATTGGAATGTGGTATACGGGACTTTCATTTGAAAGGATTGCACTTTTGGGATATGGGATAATGCTAATACCCCCCCCCCTTTTCCCCACTTCCAAAAAAAACCCTAAACGCGAAAACAACATTGAAACTTTGAAAGAATTTAAATTATCTATTTACCACAATAACTGACTCGACAGCTGCTTCATTTTCCATATCTTTAACAGATACATGTATATATTAAAAAGTTATGCATAGTGTTGTCAGTTACAAATCGAGATATATATACATGTAAGTAAATTTGTCCTAAATATTAACCTGTAAGTTGTTTCATTAATTTTTATTTTCCACGTTAATGTCATCGTTTAACTGGACATTGCCGTTTTTACACACAAAATACCATTGACAAGCTCGAATTTATTATTTTCAGTTACTATTATCTCATAAGAAATTACGATTATCAAACAAGAAAAATGCCATCGAATTACGATTATCATCCCGAATTTTTGGACGGCAATTTTATAAGCGCTTAGACAATTATAGTGCACCGTTACGATTCAAATATGATGTGATGGTATAGAAAAACCTTGCAGCTGAGTAACTCTTCACAATGGTTCAACGGGCCACATTTGAGAAAAATTCGTAATTCCAGTTACGATTATCGGTTTAACACCAGTGTAACAGGTGTTCATGAAACTGACAACTTTGTGGAATGTGGAAGGCACTCGAAGGGGATTTTCGTTTATCAAAAATGAAAATTTATTTAATAATCATTAGAGAAACAGATTCTTACAAAGTTGCTCGTGGATTATCGGATTTATCCAATCTCGATAGTTAAATTATCAATTTTAGAGTCCTCGACGAGGCTCGGACTTTAAAATTCGATAATTAAACTATCTCGATTGGATAAATCCGATAATCCACTGGTACCAATGTAAGAATCTATATTTAAAATACTATATAATAATTGACAAGTAATATTTCTAGCACGCCATTTTCGAATACACGCATTTAATGCACGAAAACCGCAGCTTTGGTTGCATTAAATATGTTATTGAGTAAGGCGTGACTGTATATGATCTGTAATATTAATGGTCGATGACGACGTAAAATGTTAGATGCCGACCAGTGAAACACACGAAACAGGTGTTTTAGTAGGATTTTTATTTTAGATACATGAAAATGAATTATTGCCATTAGATTTTCTTGAGGTTTACAGACCTAATTACACCTTAGATAAGAATGCCGGATTTTGATTGGTTGTTAGCCAGTGTATTTTTCGCATATTCTAACATTTTTTCCTCATTTCAAACGAATTTGCCTATTTTTGCACCACTGCCGGTGAATTTGCCTCAAATTCCCCTCTCTGCCGTGGTATTTGCCATTTTGGATATTCCTTTTTTACCCTCGCGAGCCTGTTCCCGCCAAAATTATTCGGAACCTTTCTCACTTTATCCCGACAACATGGTTATGCACTATTGATTGAATTTATCAGAAACCTGTCAGAAATATACATATAAAGAGGGGAAAACATGTCTATACAAATGAACAATAACAATGACGTTTACACATATAGATACCATGACGTTACAAAAAGACAGCACTAACGCATATAAGTACATGTATAATTCCCGCGGTACTACGATTTCCCTTTACATGTACAGACAGTTTCAATCCAAATCTATTCGGTGTAATTAAACAGATATATCATGTTATGGAAGGGTATTTGCGAAAAATACCAGTCTTGGGACCAAATTTCCCTCGCCTAGCGGCTTGGGAAATTTCACCGTCCCTTGGCTGGTATTTTTCGCAAATACCCCTCCATAACATGATATATCTGTTCAATATATATAGAGTGATTTTTATGTTATTGAATAGTCTTCCCTATATATACCACCTTGTCGGGTTTGAAACCCATTAGAACGTGTAGTTTCAGAGGAGTTGTGAAAGAAAGGGAACATTTTAAAACCAATTGTATATATTAAGATATTCTTCCTTTCCGAAGAACACGGGAAATAATCTATAATTTATGTTTTGATAATTGTTGCGTATCCTTTTATTTTAGGTTAAAAGGGTTATTATATAATATTCTGTTTTATTCATTTAGTATATATTAGTCGAAGAAGCGTAGCCATATAGTACAATAACAACTTCTGATCGAACTTAATGTACTGGTATAAAATCCTTCCATTCCTTGCTTTCTTATGACAAGCGGTCAATGGCGGGATTGGATAGTGCAATAACTAAAATATAAAACGTTCTGTTGATGCACTCATCTAAAAATAACAGAAATTAACTCTTTCGAAGATCAAAGGAAACATTACCATTCATGT